ACATTTAACGGGAAGGAAGGAAGTGTCTTTGTAGTAATTTTGTATGAATGAAATTATAAATCAATTAAATATTACTCACAAGTTAATTTACACAAACGTCACTGATTTTTCAAATGAAACTGCACTATAATAATATTAACCAATAAGATAATGGAATTAGGGATGCGTAATATATAGCAATATCTATATATTTAGATACAATATCTATATACTGGTTCAATAACGAATATATTAAAAGTTTGTTATCCAAAAAATTATAATGGATAACACTTTTTCTCATTCATGCTTAGAAATGTGAGCATTATTTTGACAATCTTCTTCGAGATAAATCAAAATTGCCGTACTGACCAGATACATGTGGGCAGCGGCCGGCAAAAGTTGTATGAAAATGCATATCTGTCGCGTTTTGCGGCCAGATAAATTACTATGTAAACTCATATCTGTCCTGTAATTTAAAAATGGAAAGACCTTTAACTTGAAACATGGCTACCAATGAGGCAACTAATAAAAGGTTTTATTTAAATTTCGAATTGGCTTGCAAATAGAAAGCTGTTTATTGAAAAAAAAAAACAAAGAAACATTATGGCGCGTGAAAAAATATTATTGTTCGTTATTCGTTATTGAACTTAAAAAGTAAAATTGTGTTTTTGATTTCCGCGCATTGTTTGAGAAAAGTACTATACAAGCCTTGGCCACAACTAGGCATTGATGGACTCACGTATGTGTGCCTCGGCTGCGTCTCGGCCCACATTTGCACGTTCGTCCATCAATGCCACAGTTGCTGGCCGCTGCAGTAATCTACTATTAACATATTCAAAAATAGATATTCGACCGAAATGGGCGATATTGAAATAGGTAATTACCTTTATTCTGCATTAACGTCCAGAGGAATCCAATATATAGATATCGCATCGGTATCCATATTACCCATGCCTAAATGAAAAACGACGGTTACTGCTTTCCGTCAAGTGGATCTACAACTTGTTTACTATTTTAAGTATCCTAAAAATAACTAAAAAAAAAATATTTAATAATAATAATAAAAAAAAATAATTAAGCAAATTACACTTCAAGGTTATCCTATGAATTGTCAACTGAATAATGTTCTCAATTTTTGCCAAATAATCTTTTTAAACGGTGTTTATTGGACAGTAAATAACTAATAATAATTTTTATATCACAAAAGTAACAAACAAACTTAAAGTCCCATCTAATTGTGTACGGTAATCGTTGCCTATGGGCGTGTAATGTGCGTATTTCTGACCCTGAAAAATTTTCAATACCTACTTTTTTGAAAAACCACATACTGTTTAACTTGCCTCACATATTACATATTTTTATATTATATTGCATATTTTTGCAATTGCCTTGCACGACATAAGTCATTCTTTAACAGTTAATATTGTTATAACAAAAATTGTATGGACAAGTACATTAAAATAAAAAACAAGAGATCTAACCACACAAAGCTAACAAATAAATAAACACTATTAGCGCCATCTAGTTCTAAACTAAGCAGATCTTGTTCTATGGATACTAGGAAAATATTGGACATATTAATTTTTATTTAAACACATACATGTTATTATATTTAATGCTCAAGGGATGGACCGCAGCGTCCCTCTTAAAATATCACCAAATGCTAACTGTGGTTGCCAAACCACCTGCCAAGCATGGCACTTACTAGAAAAACTCCCCTTATGGGGAATTGTATTATATGGGGACCGAACCCGTGGCCATCGATGAAGCAGAATGTCAGACTGCTAAACCTCCAATATTTTCCTTTTTGAATAAGGAATTATAAACGATGATATCTTATGAATGAGGACAGATAAAAAAATCCTCATCAAGAAGCAATCCGAATTGACGTCACTCTCTCAGTATAAAGAGAGATTTACCCATCGGCCTATTAATTTCCTGTGTGATCATAGATGAAGGATATAGGATGCGTCAGTGACCGTCCAATTACGACATGGGTAAATACTAACGGCGACATATTCAAGACAGTTTTTCCTCACCTGTTGCGTCTAATTCTTTCCAACATGTAAAAATTATGTTGCGCGCAGAACCTGTAATTTCCTGTAATTTGCCCGCTCATTGTACTACTGTGTAATTTGTGGTTCCGTTAGTACATAGAAATGGAAAACGTTACGGGTTGCGGTTAGTAATAACTGGATACGCAGGTATACAGTTGCAACAGGGAATTATTTTAAAACGCAATATGCAATAGAACACTCTTCTTTATTTAAAAAAAGAAATAGCTTCGTTTTTTGCTCGTTCTTTTTTTTTTTTTTTTTTACAACACAGGGGGCAAACGAGCATGCGGCTCACCTGATGGTAAGTGACTACCGCCGCCCATGATCACCCACAACACCAGCGGCATTGCAGGTGTGCTGCCGGCCTTTTAAAAAGGAATATACTCTTTTCTTGAAGGTTATGTTGTCGTATCGGTTCGGAAATACTGCTGCTGGAAGTTGATTCCAAAGAATGGTTGTGCGTGGAAGAAAGTGCCTTGAAAAACGCACGGTGGAAGACCGCCACTCGTCCAGATGATTGGGATGAAACTTTAGTTTGTGGCGGGTTGTACGGTGGTGAAAATTAGCAGCAGGTATCAATCCGAACAATTCCTCAGAACACTCCCCATGATAAATTCGGTAGAAGATGCACAGAGATGCAACATCTCTGCGCAGTTTCAATGGGTCAAGTCGGACAGTAAGGCGTTGACTATCGATAATTCGAGCCGCCCGACTTTGAATGCGGTCTAACGGAAGGAGTTGGTACTGTGGCGCTCCTGCCCACAGGTGAGAACAGTATTCCATATGCGGCCTGACTTGGGCTTTATATAATTTCAGGCGGTGTTCTGGCATGAAATATCGTCTCACCCTATTGAGCACTCCTAACTTTTTGGAAGCTATCTTAGCCTTCTCCTCCAGATGACCGCAAAACTGGACGTCGCAAGATATATCAACGCCCAGAATTCCTAGACTTGACTTTTTATCGAGGGAAGTGCCCTGAAAGTGAGGAGATACGACAAACGGCGTCTTTTTGCGGTAAACGCGCAGACTTGTGTCTTTTTGGGGTTAAATTGGACAAGATTTTGTTCACCCCAGATCGAAACTTGATGGAGTGAAGTTTCGATTTCAGACACAAGTCTATTCCGGCACTCATCGGTATGTGCCCGCGAGATCTTTGCATGACCGGTATATAATGTATCTCCTGTACTGTCGTCCGCATAGCAATGAATATTACTTATCTGTAACATATCATTGATATGCAGAAGAAACAGAGTCGGAGATAGTACACAGCCTTGCGGGACACCAGCATTCAAAGGTTTTAAATCAGAGCATGCACCGTCGACTACGACCTTAATGCTACGTTCCTTGAGAAAACTGGCGACCCAAATGCACAGTCTCGCAGGCAACCCAAATGAAGGTAGCTTTGAAAGCAGCGCTCTATGCCACACCCGATCAAAGGCCTTCGCAATATCCAGACTAACTGCTAAGGCCTCTCCCTTACTCTCAATTGCCACTGCCCATCGGTGTGTTAAGTAAGCTAAAAGATCACCGGCCGAACGTCCCTGTCGAAAGCCGTACTGGCGATCACAGATCAGCCGGTGCTCTTCTAGGTACCGGAGCAGTTGACGGTTAATGATGGATTCCATAACCTTCGAGAATAAGGAAGTGATAGCTATGGGCCTATAGTTAGCTGGATCTGAGCGATCTCCCTTTTTAGGGATCGGATGCACCAGAGCAGTCTTCCAAAACTTTGGGACTATGCCCGATGAGTAGCTAAGCCGAAAAAGACGCGTAAGAACCGGAGCCAACTCTGGTGCGCACGTCCTAAGCACAATTGGAGGAATACCATCAGGCCCACTCGACTTATGGATTTCGAGGGAGAAAAGTGCTCTACGCACTGAGCTATGCGTGAATTTAATGTCAGGCATAGAGCTCCTACAACACGTGATGGTCGGTGGTGGTTTCTCCCCGTCATCCAATGTCGAGTTTGACGCAAAGATGGATCCAAGAAGATCGGCCTTTTCTTTAGCGTTCTGGGCCAACGAGTCATCCTCCCTGCGCAAAGGTGGAAAAGATGACTTACAGAAATTCCCTTGTGCAGCTTTGGCAAGAGACCAGAAAGCTCGAGTCCCAGAGGGCAAACTAGCCAATCTCTTGCCATCTCTACTAATATGCTCTGACTTCGCTGTGGCTATAACTCTTTTGAAGGACCTAGAGGCAGAGTTATACTTCTTTTTAAGAGCACTGGTGTTAGGATCTCGCGACGCCACACCTTTAGCCCAGGTTAGGAAGCACTCCTGTTTCAGACGAGATGCTGTTCTACAGGAGGCTCCATACCAGGGCTGGGATTTCCCGCCGACGGGCACCACAGAGTTAGGAATAAATAATTCCATTCCCTGAAGCACCACATCAGCAATGGAATCGGCAATGGCGTCGGGATCATCCAGTGTGAAGCAAACCTGCCTCCATGGGTAAGATGCGAAAAAAATCCGCATCTCATCCCAATCTGCCGACCTGTAGTGCCAAATGCGACGTCTACCCGTAGAACGAGGTGGAGTCGGACTCGTAAGAGGCACTTCGCTCCGCACCAAACAGTGATCCGACGATCCAAGCGGGGCTTCGACGGAGCTGAAATCAAATTTCGAACTAGCCGGTAGATTTATAAGAAAATTACTGTTCAAAAATGCTTACATGAATAAAAATAATTTTCATTTCACATTATTATTAACAGTTTTTAATTTTATTAAAATGTGTAAACTTTAAATAAAATTGGAAAATAATATTTATGTAAAATAATACTTAAAAGTTTTTATTTATTAATTTAATTTTTAATTTTATCGGGTGGCATCTCTCAACATATTTTTTTTATTGACTATTGCCGTTTTACTGAAATATTTTAAGATGAATATAAAAAAATCAAAACAAAATATGAATATTATTTGGTTTAAATGTTTTATAGCCAATATTTAATTTTATGTTAAATAGATCCAGAAAGAAACTAATGGATTACGTGGAAGATGACATGGCCAGAAGGAATGTCAGTATTGAGACTAGTGCAAATGGAAAAAAAAAAACATATTACTATCCCAAATTGGTATTGGAAAAGGGCAAGACAATGGTGTGTATATATTAATCATTGAAAAAATCGTGCCATCTAAAAAACAGAACAGATTTCCCATAAAATCGATGAAAAAGATTATGTCAATAGATGAAATAATGTGAACTGTTTTCTAGAAAGAAAGAAAGAAAGAAAAAAACATTAATTGCCAACAACAACAACAACGAACACTCAGGTTATGGAATGAGCTCCCTGCCTAGATTTTCCCAAGAGACTACAGCATGGGGTTCTTCAAAAGGGGGATAAAGAGGTTTCTTCAGGGTCGGCAACGCGCGCGTAATACCTCTGGTATTGCAGGCGTTCATAGGTAACCGCTTACCATTAGGTGGGCCGTATGCTTGTTTGCCATCTCAGTGGTATAAAAAAAAACTTATTATATTTTTTAATGAGTGATAATGGAATAGAATATAATTTTCTCTTATCGTTTTTTAATGATTAATAATGGAATGGTATTTGCTGTCTACGATATCAATGTACACTGGTGGTGTATAATATAGGTGAGAGTAATAATTCCACAAGGATTAACCAAATTGGTTTCCAAATTGGACCTGACAGGTATATATTGCTAGCAAATGTGGCTGTTAAAACATCATTATTAACGATCCCTTTTTTAATGGCTGATAATGGAATAGTAATCCCTCCTGCACAATTGAAGTCACTGAAAGCGGTTTATTTAATCTCTTACCGCCTCGTCTGCTTTGTAAGACAATAAGCAATTTTAAGCTATACACAACAATTTTTTTTTAATGGATGATAATGGAATGTTAACTCCTCCTGCACTATCGGTTCACACTGGCGGGGCATTAGTGAGTGGTGATAGGTGAGAATGAAAAGACAGGTCAGTTAACCCATCGTGATGAATACACATGGAATTCAGCACTATAGATTCTAGAGGGAACCGCGTGGAGATCGATCTAATAAGGTGTATTGCTAGCAATGGGATTGGTAATCCGCATTAATTACTTAATTCCCTTCCCTCCCGCGATTATTATGTTATAAAAACAAAAACCAAGTGTAATTTAAATAAAAACAAATTCAAAATTAAATCATCTTTATTCAAAGAGACTTGTTTACAAGCACTTTTAAATAGTTTTTTTTTTTTAATCTACTGCAGGGGTTGGAAAATTGTTATCTGTTGAGAAGAGTCCGCAAGAAACTCAACAGTCATATTACGCCGACCCAAATAATTGGGACAAGGGCAGAAAAATGATGACGAATGATGTCACAATTTACAAGACGGTACAATTATAATGTAGGTAATATCATAGATAGAAGTATATTATACTTTTTCTATGATAGAAGTTATTAATCCGCGGGACTTACTTCATTTATGTCTTTTGTACGCTACTGAATATGCCCTTAATACTTTATTTGCTTACTACTTTCTTCATGTCACAAATATTTGTCCTATTTCACCTAAAAGGGAATATTTATATTAGAACTAACACAGAAAATAGAATAAGTATTTATTTGTCAAGTAATATTATTTTTACTTTCCATTTCTCTTAATTTAATTCCACTGAGGCAAAGGACAAAAACAACGTAACATTTTTTTTACGTACAAATAGGCTTCTTATTTTTTTTTTCTATTCTTAATTTGATTTTCAACTTTAGAAACTTACAACATTTACAACCTTTAAATACTGAAATACTGAATTATTATGTCTATCGCCTAATACTTTTTAATGGATTTAATAGAATAATAATACTCTATGCTAATACTCATAGTGGGCATTTGGGCAATGGCGGGACATTAGTGATGGAAAAAGGATGACGATGAAAGTATGTCTACAGATATCATCACATATCGTACATACTTTAAACTATCTATTTCCATTATCCATTTTTATCCAAATAAATAGGTACAAATTTCGCTGAAAATTTTTTGATAAACAAGTGGGTGTTAACAGTGTTAAAATAACAGGAAATAAGGATAATGATTTGAGAACAAAAAACAATAGAAATGAGTAATTTATTTCATCACATTATAATAATGCGTCACAGAGATATTCTGTTGTTGGATTCTATCTAATCTGTAAATGAATTATTAGATACGATATATTATTTTAAATGTAATGTAATGTCAAAAACTGAAGACCAAAGAAAAGTACTAGTGGTAATATCCCCAAATGAGTCATCAAAGCAAAACATGTTTTATAACAATGTAAGATTTTGCTCCACAAGAAACCTATTTTAAAAGTGACAAAATGAATATGGGATCAACCCGTACTAACGTTTACTCCCGTGACAAAATGTTAATTACTTGTTCTTGATATTTATTACTGTAGGTAATTAGGAGTTTTTTTTTTTTATTTTAAAATACACATCTTAGATTATATACTCATAGATAGAATGTCACCATACAAATGCTTTGAGAAAAGCGGGTCAACTTTTTCATACAAATTTGCGTGCTTAAATAGTTATGAGTGATTCCTTTATAAATTCTGTATTTATTTTGTCTTACAATTTCTCTATCATTTTAATGCATAGACTTTATGCAATAAAAAGATGGAGAAGTATATAGAACACTAATAAAAAACGAGACAACTAGTTTAACAATTAGCTGACAAAAAGTTGACGCGTTTTTTGAGGCTCGAGACTCTATCTATATAATCTAAGATGTTAGTTTATATGTACACTAATTTAGCCAAGATTGCTGTCAAATTATTTTCATAGAATAATATCTTAAACTACGTTTGTTTACTACTTCGTAAGCGTAGATCAGATCAGAAGTAGAAAAACCAATGCAAGAGACCACTTCTAGATGGCGTATCAAGATAAAACATGCACTAGCTTTTAAACATTCTGGTGCAATAGTTTTTATGTGAATCCGAAACAAACAAACAGACAAACAAAATTTATAATATTATTATATTATCATCTATTGCTCTTATAATTTTTTTCTTAAATATCTCCTGTTTTTATCTATTACGTAGTCTAGTTACAATTTTATTGTATTAGTAAGATTATTGTTTATTCACAAAATTCAAATATTATTCTGAAACATTCTCGAAGTAAAAAGAAAAAATTCAAAATTGAAGTCACTGAAAGCGGTTTATTCTCTTACCGCCTCGTCTGCTTTGCAAGACAATTTTAAGCAATTTTAAACTATACACAACAATTTTTTTTTTAATGGATGATAATGGAATGGTAACCCTGCCTGCACTATCGGTATACACCGACGGAGCACCAGTGAGGGATGTTAGGTGACAATGAAAGTAGGTTAGTTAGCCCATCGAGACGAATTCCACTAGAATTAAAAACGATGGTTTCCAGGGGGAACCGCGTAGAGGTCGACCTGGTGGAGTATATTGCTAGCAATGGGTCAGTTAGACCCCATTACTAACAATCCCTTTCCCCCCAATATACACAACAATTACCACAGGTTATTTACTTTAAATTTCAACTTATTTATTTATACTTTTGCACACATTGAAATATGTTTACAGGGCGGACTTAATCAGTCAGTATGTTATTATATATAAAAAAAACAGTGTATAAACTAAGAATGTTTTCTGTAGTATATAAGTACCTTATTTACTTACCTATTTGTAATAAATTTCCTGCTAAACTCAAAGACTCCTTTCAGAGAAGTACGAGCATCTACTCATCGACAACATAATCCGTGTCATCAAATTATTTGTAATCTTGTCACATCAACAATGTGACCCTGGCACGTACACACGCCATAATTATGGGGCTATTTCTTCTCATGGGTACCATATAATGGCGTAATGTCCTTAACCCTTGTATACATTGTCTAGTTTTCTATAAAACAAAAGATTGTAATGTGTGACACATTGTGTCATTTGAGATAACTTGGGATTACTACATTATTATGATATACCTACATAGATAAACTAGTGTGTTCCAGGTTTAATAAAAGCTAATCCATCCCGTTCACTGTATTGGAATTTCGGAGAAGTCCTGCTTAGTAATTACTTACATTATACTATTCAGCATTTTTTTTAATTGATGGTTTCGGGGCATCAGTGAGGGGTGATACGTGAGAATAAAAAAGCAGACTAGTTAACCCATCGTGATGAATACACTTGGAATTCAGCACGATGGTTTCCAGGAGGGACCAGGGGGAGGTCGACCTGTTAGAGTATATTGTTAGCAATGAGAGTGGTAATCCGCATCACTAACAATCCTTTCCCTCCATTACCAGTATATATACCCATGACTCTATCTGTGTGACCGGAATATATATCCAGGTCGCACACACACACACATACATATTAATACATATACATTGTCCGGGATAAAATGTAGGCTATGTCCTACTCCCTTACAAATAACACATGTTTACGCAGATGGATACCGGTGAATGACAGTAGGTGAGGATGGGGGGAAAGAGATTGTTAGTAATGGGTAATAACAGCCCTATTCCTAGCAATATACCCTATCAGATCAACCTCCACGCGGTTCCCCCTGGAAACCATCCTGATTAATTCTTGTCAAATTCTTCACGAGGGGCCAACTGCCTTTGTCTTCACCTATCATGCCTCATGGCTGGTACCCCGCCAGTGTATACCGATAGCGCAGATGGGGTTGCCGTTCCATTTTAACCCATTAAAAAATAAGTGAGGATAAACTTAAATTAAGCTGATCATGACGAATTCATGAGGAATTAACCGCGAGGATTTCCAGGGGAAACCACATGGTACCCAACAAAAGCAAATTGCTAGCAATGTGGCCACTATACTGTATTATTTAATATCATCATCATTATCTGACCACTGCTGAACATAGGCCTCCTCCATAGACTGCCTTAAAGAATGGGGTCGTTCCTTATGGCAATTTACTATTAGTACGGAATTTGCCCGTATTTTGCCACGCTTAGAAGAGAGGTTGGCAACCGCAATTTGGCTTTGGTGATATTTAAGATAGACGTTGCTGCCCATTCCTTGACCATTAAGTTCTCTTAGTCTCCTCTTACGACACCCACGAGAAAGCAAGGAGTGGCTTATTCTATGCCGGGATCACACGGCAAATTACTTTATATAATCTGTGCTGTTATTTTTAGCCAAACATCTTTTGCTTCATAGTTGACTAGTAGAGAACGCCTTTAAGTCTTACGTTCGACATGTGTAGGTACGTTTATTATGTAAATGAAAGATAAATAAATAACAATCTCCTTCTCCTGCACAGACGAGGTTACCATTCCATTTTCATCCATACAAAAAAAAAAACATTTATTCGTGGAACACGAAGCGGTACCGACAACAATACTAGAAGGGCAATCGCTAGCGAGAACCGTGCTGTTCTCGGTACTAGATGAGTTTGTTTTTGTTGAGTACGATGAAGACGTTCACTTTGCAGATCCCCGAACAACAGAAACGGGCTTGCGTTCCACGAGAATTTCATGATTAACCGTAATTTGCTGGATTCTTGGAAGATATTCTATATCTTTGTAATTTTTTATACAGCTATAGTTAAACGCATTAAATATTGACTAGTTTCATAGTGATTTAGTCGATTTTTAAAAACGAGGCGTTCATTTGAATATTTTTCTGATTATGTTGCAGATTTACCCCGACAATTCTGAGTAGTTTTTATAATTATTTCTACAATTAATGAAGTTTATCTCCGTGTTGGTCCTTTATTAATTTTGTACCAGTTGCTGCTACTGTTTATTTTGCAGAACAAAAGACTTCAAAATTTATTTGTAGATCCACAATCCATAGAATTTATGTTCTAATTTTAAAAAATCTATCTAATCTGCCTGTATTTATAATTATTATTCATCTATATCTATTTGTTGATAATTCAACAGAAACTGATGCGTTTTTGTGTAATGGCAAACGAATTCTCCAGCTTCGTGTCACTTCGATAATTTTTTTTATGAAATGTATACAAGCGGTTGATTGATTTTGAAATTTTTACACTGAATTAGGTCTTTTGTGATACCTATTGATATCAATACTTTATATTGAGATATATTGTATATATTTGTATGACACTACATACCAATATACTTTATACTAACAATATATATTCTAAATTTCTAAGTAATCATTAAAATCGGACATATAAAAATACACAAAATTTCTAAACCTTCTCCTTCTTAATATTTGTTAAAAATATTTATCTGTTTATGGGAATTATATTCTGCGTATAAAACATATACGCAGAATTGATATTTTTAGCCACAACGTACCTATTAAAGCAATAATAACAATAAAACCCTTTGTTATATAACTTGTGCACTTTGTCAATAGCTGACTGATTTCTAAGAATATATCTACAACGGTTTAGGGTCATAATATGTTTACGTCTATATAACATGAGTCATATTAAACAACATTGATTACATTTTAATTTCAGCATATATAATGTTTTACAAAAGAGGAAGAGGAAGACCGAGGAATAACTACATGGGACAGATAGAGGAAACACTAGGTGTCATGTCATGATAGAGCTGGCTGGAAGAAGATGCATGAATTAGTTGCACCGACAAGAGGAAACTCTTAAATGAAAAGAAGAGAATGTTTTACAACAATTAATTTAAGCTACCTAATCAACAAACCTACAAGAAATAATATAATACTGTGATAATACAAGAAAATATTATGTTTTTTACATTGAATGGCAAACCATCATAATATATTTGTTCTTAATTTTTTTTAAGCACACTTACAAAAGAAGGAAATTCTAAACTTGTTTTTTTTGCAACTATATTAAGCGATAATGTTGCCATTTTTGAGCCAATATATATACAATTTTCTTTACAATCAATAGGGTTTATTCTTGTATTTTTTTTTTATTATAGCACGATATGTGAGCACATCTTGAATGAACACAGAGACGACATGGTACACAAATACGATCAACCGAAAAGAGAATAGTCTACTCTCAACGGTTTTTTTTTTTTGATGGGTGAAAATGGTATGATAACCCCGCCTGCGCTAACGGGATACGCTGGCGAAGCACCAGTAAAGGGTGATCGATGAAAATGAAAATAGGCCAGTTAGCCCATCATGATGAATTCATTAGGAATTAACCATGATAGTTTCCAGGGGGAACCGCGAGGAGGTCGACCTGGTTGGGTATATTGCTAGCAATGGGATTCTCAGTCTCCATTACTAACAATCGCTTTTCCCCCCTACTCTCAACGGTTGGCTCACTAAATGCTATTTCACGCTGTCTCTGTAGGATTAGAAGTTAAAAGATAATCTTTTGAAGGGTAGCAATAAATCAGAATAATTATCTATTTGTTTATCTATTAAATATTCCATATATCAGCTGTTATGTTTTAAATAAGTAACATAAGTTGCGCAGTAACAAAAAAAGCTGCGCAGTAATACGTAGGTAAGTACGTACTTGTAATCTGAAGATTAACGGATTTCCTTTTAAGAAATCGAATGGAACTTTTAGTAGGTGATCTATTGTTCCAATGGCATTGACTATTTGTACGTTGTCATTGGAAACCTTTAAAGGTGGAATTAAACTCAGCTGATAAATACTCGTTTTTTTGGCCTTATTCGTCTAGATTTTAACCAGTTTAAAAAAAAGAAGGACGTTCTCAATTCGGTATTTTTTATTAAATTTATTATCTCACAACCTTAGCTTATAACTCTATCAATTATATACCAATTTAAAAATTTTAAAACAGCTACATAATAAGTTATTTGAATATATTTTTGTATATTACAAAATATAACACTAAACTAATCCGATGAATTTTTTTTTATACTACTTAGAATGGCAAACAAGCTGACGGCCCACCTGATGGAAAGTGGTAACCGTCGCCTATAGACATGAGCAGTACCACAGACATAACAATGTTTTACGATTAATACTGTTTACTCTTATGTCGTTCTCATAATAATTTAATCACAATTTTTTACTTAACGAAATCTTAAATTACCTTTTTCTTACATTGATGTTCTCAATGACCTAAACCTGCCATAACATAGCTCTATGTTGTTTGTTGTACGTGTATCTGATTCCATCCTAGTTCGATCGATCAAAACTGTTCCAAGGTCGCGTTCAGTTGCAGAATTATTTATGATCACAAATCCACAACATGTAGATATAAATGGCGATTCTTGGAAATGTAATGAGATGTTTATTTTGATCCCGAGCAATTCTTGGCGCCGGCGACACGGCGCAATCCTAATGAACAGAATAATGACGCGCGCCTCTAAATCTGGTTATTTGTTATGAATATTCTCATTGTTTCCATACGTTGTAACGTTGGTCGTTTAAATAGAAAGTCTCTGAAAGTTACTCACAATTTTCTTTCGCGTGTAATGTCTAGTGACGTCACAATTCACGTAGGAGCTCTCGTTACGCGACCAACCAAACAAGGAGTGTAATGTTTTCTAATTTCATGTATGCGAGTTTCTTTATTCCAAGATACAAATGCCTGAACAGATTTGGATATATGGTATAACGTTAGAATCCTTACCGAATGACGCTGCCTAAAAATTTTTCGAGGATAGTCCGTTTTTGGCTGAGCAAACGAGTTTGTAATCGACTTCTTTAGTGCCATTGTGATTTATATTGCATTGCAATAAAATCCATAAAAAAAAATGTTTTTTTATTCAACTTAGAACGGAAAACAAGCTGACGGCCCACCTAATAAAAAGTGGTACCTATAGACGTGAAGAGTACCATAGACTTTACAGAGCCCATGATACTCCTTATGCATTGCCATTCCTGTCGACCAAGGTGTAATGCCTCTGCACCCTTAATACCTACAAAACATTTGGTATACGATTTCGACTCGCACTTGCCGGTTGTTTATTTAATATGACCGGTCAGAAGTTAATAAATGGAGTCACTGTATAAATTAATGTACTTTGAAATTTTATTGATTGGTTATTTATATGTATTTTCGACTTTAAATAGTTTTTACTAAAGACTTTAGACTTTAAATAGATTGTTTCTAAAGAAAAAAAACTACTTCAATTGTGATAAAACCAGTTATTTTGATCTTTAAACTACTAAATTGATTATAATAAAAATTTAATATAAGTATATCCTTTCAGATAAAAAAAGAATTTTCCAAATCGGTTTATAACTGACGGAGATATGAGGTAACAAACATAAAAAAATACAACCGAATTGTAAACCTCCTTTTTGAAGCCGGTTGAAAAGGAGTTTTTTTTTCTTTATACAACTTAGAATGGCAAACAAGCTGACGGCCCACCTGATGGAAAATGGTAACCGTAGCCTATAGACATGAGCAGTACCATGGACATAACAGAGTATACTGTTTCGCCCATGATACCCCCCATGCGTCGCCATTCCTGAGGACTCAGGTGTTATTCCTATGTACCCTGTAAATTCACGCCATATCCCACCCTTCAAATCGAAACACAGCCATGCAAACACAACTGCTTCACGGTAGAAACACAAATGGGACAGAGGTACCCAAGCAATCGACTTTTGTACAGTCTCCCTCTGGTAAGTCTGGAGGTGTTCTCAATTCAGTTATTTTTTTCTGTCTTTGTTGCCTTATAACTCCGTCAGATATAGATGTATTTTGGAAATTCGTTTATAATTTTTTTATAACCAAAGATACACATTCACATTATTGTCATAGAAATTTAAAAATCGGTTGAGTAGTTTAGTTTTTAAATCAAAATAAATGGTTATGCCATGACTGAATTTGTTTTTTTTTTTAAAGAACGCAATTTTAAATTATTTTTAAACAGTCAGCATTTATGTGGCGCGGTGCAGCGACGTGACAATGACGAGGGAGCGTGTCACATCATACAAAAATAACTTAGTATGTCGTCGCACGTCACGTCACGACACTTGTTTACGGCCGTGACTCAGTGTTTACATGAAATAAAACTATTTTGTTTTGTACATCTTGTTACGCACTTACATATAATAATCTATAATGTGATAATAGTTATAAATCTAACTGACAACAACAACAATATTTTGGCTGTTTTTTTTTTACTACAATCATAGATAAATAATGTAGTTAATAATGTAGTTTCTTAGTAATAATTCTCTATGGTACAATAATAATATAGTAGTGGTCGCCCCGTGGTCGAAATTCTACCATAACATATATTGTAATAAATGAATTTCATTCATAAAGACTCATTTCATTCATTCATTTTCATTCACAAATAATATTAAATACAAACAATATTAATCTATTCTCAATTTGACCACAGACTTTAACAATAAACAAAAGAGTATATGTGCGTGTATGTGTCATATACATGGTAGTACGTGTAATGTTTTTTTTTATTGATTTAATGTATTTTTATGGATAATAAAAAAATATATTAGCATTTTGCACTCCTTCTCTATATAAACTATAAGTGTGCTATATTACATAATCCATTCACTACAGTTTTTGTAAAAAAAGGTACAAAGATTTTGCTTCACGTATTATATAGATTAAATAGGTACTTTTTTTGTAATGGATAATAAAGGGCAAACTATACGAACACACACCATATCTTCTCATCAAAAATACCTCAAAGTAAAAAAACTAAAGTCTTTAGTAAAAAGACGAAGAGGGACCACGTGAAGGTCGACCTGACAGAGTATATTGCTAGCAATAGAAGTGGTTATTCGCATTACTAACAATCATTGCCCCCCCCCCCCAGAATTATAGTGTTATACCTCCGTACCTGTAATTTCACTGCCTTATCCCACCCTACAAACAGAAACACAGCCATGGAAGCATAACTGCTTCACGGCAGAAACACGAGTAGAGCGCTTTCAAAATTTCTAAACAATAGACAGCACTGTCACGCCCGTTCGTCACAGCTCGTTGACCTTTACGCATTTCTTTCCAGAAACACGGCCAGGAAGTTATTATTAGTGCTTTCTAGCGGCCTGTCAAATAGCTAGCTTGGTTGGTTGGGTGCACACGACGAGTTACAGATATGAATGGAACTGTTACTCCTTATTATATTCTTTATCAAAACTATTACCAGATGCTTAAGTTCAGCGGTTTCTATATTTAAATATTCCTATATTTTTTTACAGAACAAATAAAAATGTTTTGTTCGTAAATTAATTTGATAACAGTCATTGCTGAGTTTCTTTTAAGTTATTCTCAGCAAATGACAGCATTCAAAATGTGACGATTTTGAGCTTGTCACTAACTCTTCACTGGCACACACTTTATTACTATTCACTGGCAACATTTTAGAATAAATTCGTTTAAATCAATAAAGCCTTGGAGCTCGTTTAAATCAATAATCTACTTGTATATTTATTTTTCATGCATAAGTATGCATAGTATTTGTTGCGAAAACTTTCTTTTTAAACCACTTTAAAAATGTTCTCTGTTTCGCAAAACTATCTAAACCTTTCGCTACTTGTTGATATGTTACTTTAGGAATCACAAATCTTATTGTTAATTCTTATTGAATTCGTCACAATGGGCCCACTAACCTAACTTTACCCTCCCATATTGCAGGCTTTACGATCCCATGGTGCAGACGGGGTTACTATTTCAAATTGATCCATGCATTCATCTTATATGTACACAACTGTACCTAAATGTAGGTATATTTAATACCAACGACTGTACCTTTGTGCATTGGTTGAAACATCAGCTGTACCGTAGCAACAGTTGTTTTGGTCATTGGGGACGCACTTCCTACAATTTGTCGTGGGAAGGGAACAACGGATGTGCCTTGAGTGCCGCAGAGAACACCAACCTTGGGCTGTGTTTACTTCAATTATTGATTATTCGACCAAATCAAAATGATCCAACTATGCGTAAGACCAAATCCCTCCGATGATTCTCCGTAACAGCAAACAGTTTGCGTTAGCCGACAATTGCATGATTTTTGACATGTTTTGTATTTTTTAAGCATGATTAGCAACCAAACATCACAGTGTTCTTATTTTTTGATGGGTAAAAATGGTATGGTAACCCCGTCTGCGCTAACGGGTTACGCTGGTGGAGCACCAGTGAAGGGTGATAGATGAGAATGAAAACAGGCCAATTAGCTCATCATGATGAATTCATCAGGAGTTAACCATGATAGTTTCCAGGGGGAACCGCGAGGAGGTCTGTTTGGGTGTATTGCTAGCAATGAACATCGCAGTGTTAGAGTGGTCTCTGCAGAACTATTTAGGAATTGACATTATTGAATTAATTCTGTATTTTACCACTCGATTATAGATAGCGTTGTTTGTCGAAGAATGGTGGAACTTACCCGTCTAACTAACCTCGCGCAATGCAATTTGTATTCATTTGTTTGAAATTAAATGAAATGAAATGAATTTGTTCTGCTAGAATGTAGGTAGTTTTCGATGAAAGAGGTTTACATTTCCCATATACATTCTGCCTCTATGTCGGCGTGCAAATTATTAACAATATGAAAAAATTACAGAATTCTACATTATATTTCCCCTTATTAGTCATACTACTTAACACACACATAATTTATTACAGTAAATAGAAAAGAAAACAAGAACCAAAGCGTCAATCACATCTCCAGTATAGACTGTCAAGTACATTTGTTTTTTTTATTTAAATATTCATTGATGGTATAAAAATTATTACATAAAAGCCAATTCCTAAGTTTATGTTTGAACACTGTATGGGCTGTTATTTCTCTAATGTAATTTGGTAGATGATTGTAAACTTTAATAGCCATACAATATGCATTCCTTTTATGTAAATCTAATCTACACTTTGGTACACATAATTTGTCATTTGGTCGAGTTACACGTATTTTTGAGTCCGATACTCTTTTGAAATAGCCAGCATGTTCCCTTACAAATATACAAAGGTCGCTAATGTACATACATGGCAGTGGAAGAATATTTAATTTCTTAAAAAGAGGGCGACAACTTTCACTAGTTTTTGCACCACATATAGCTTTAACACACTTCTTTTGTACAACAAATGCTCTGGAAATTTCTGTAGAGTTTCCCCATATTAATAATCCATATGAAAGTATGGAGGAGACATATCCATGATATGCGCTCAATGCAGCTTGTTCTGATACTGATAGTCTTAATTTTCGTATTGCATGCACGAATCTATGGAGATTGTTACACAAGGCCTCTATATGGGCCTTCCAATTACAATGTCTATCTACAGTTATACCTAAAAATCTGACACTATCCACTAATTCCACTGGTTGATTTTGATAATTTATATTCATTTTCAAAGATTTTGAATAATATGTGCCAAATTGTATTATTTTGGTTTTATTTAAATTAATTTTTAAATTATTTTCTGTTAGACATTTTATAATATTTTGTAAAGTGTCATTAATTTGTGTTTCTAGGTCATCTTTATTTTTACATTTTATTAATATAGTTGTATCGTCAGCATATAGTATACATTTATGTGTGATTATATTAGGCAAATCATTTATATACGTCAAAAAAATATATGGTCCAAGAATACTTCCTTGAGGAATTCTACTTTATTTAATTTTGGGATAGATCTATAAATTTTTTTATAGCCATTGATAATTTTAAACGTCTCTGTACATTGTTTGCGATCTTGTAAATAGCTTTTAGCCAATCATGTGCATTTCCTCTTATTCCGTATTTATATAATTTATTTAATGCAATATTATGATCTAAACAGTCAAAAGCTTTAGTCAAGTCCAAAAATATTGCAGCTACGTGCTCTCTATTATTCAATCCCTCCGTTACCGATTTTATTAAATCAAAACAAGCCAAAGATGTTGAGCTGTTTTTCCTAAATCCATATTGTTCTTGATTCAAGATATTATTTTTAGTCATAAAGTCATTTAGCCTTTTTAGCATAGCTTTCTCAAATATTTTAGAAATGACTGGAATAAGTGCTATAGGCCTATAATTATTCATATCACTTATATCCTCTTTTTTATGTAATGGCTTTATTATAGACATTTTCAAACCATCTGGAAAACAGATGGTTTGAAAATGTCTAGGTTTGAGTGTTTTATATATTTAATATATATTTTTTAAAACAATTTTAAAACATCTATCAGTTATTCAGGACCCATAGTGCATACACTGCTTAGTTTGAGACTAGACAGTGCTGTAAAATAATAAAAAAATATGGCTCCAAACCATCCTCATCCATTGACTCCCTGCAATACTTTTGAAAACGTCACTTTTATAATAACTGTAAAGCACATTATGGAGCTTCTACAAGTGGGTATTATTTAACTGATAAAAATGGAATGATAACGCCTGCGCTATTGATATATACTATCAAGGTAAGTGATGATAGGTAAAGATCAAAGCAGGTCAGCTAACGTATCGTAATGATTTCCCTGGTAAAACCACAATTGATTTTTCTAATGAGTGAAAATGGAATGGCGATTTCGCCTGCGCTATCAGTATACGATGGAGAGGCACGAATAATAGATGATAAGTGACGATAAAGACGACGTATCACATCTTCCATATTTAGAACTAACAGAATTTTTCATCGTGCCTCCCATCAAATTGTTTATAATTACTCCTCTCCATCCAAAGGTTGCCTGGAAAAGATCGCTCTTAGCTATAAGGTCGCCCATAGTTTTCTCATTGTGATTAATTCTTGTAATTATTTATATTTATAATAAGTTTACTATAGTAATCTTTTGGAGGAAACAATAAAGAGTATCTATAAAGGTAAGTCAGTTGCCCTATCGCAAAGAATTCGATAAAAAACAACCAAGATAGTTTCCAGAACCACGTGGAAGTTGACGAGACAGGGTATACTGCTAGTAATGGAGCTGTTAGACTCCATTACTAATAATCCCTTTCCGTACTAACCATAATAGACTCATGAGAAGACCATGTGGAGGTTCTAGTGGTAATTAGTTCCTCACATTTAGTATTGACAATCGCACACATATTATTGGTAGCTATAACGTAGTGATTACTTGCTCTGTGGTAATAGCAAGTACACAAAATAATTACTTAGTTATTTTAATAATTAAGTAGTTATATTGTGTATATATTTATATATATACACAAATATATTTTTACCAGAGGGAGACTTTGTATAAAAGTCGATTGCTTGGGTACCTCGGTCCCATTCGTGTTTCAAACGTGATGTTTGCTGTGTTTCGGTTTGAAGGGTGGGATATGGCGTGAATTTACTGGATACAGAGGAATAACACCTGAGTCCTCAGGAATGGCATCGCATGGGGGATATCATGGGCGAAACAGTATACTCTGTTATGTCCGTGGTACTGCTCATGTCTATAGACCACTTTCCATCAGGTGGGCCGTCAGCTTGTTTGCCATTCTAAGTTGTATAAAAAAAATATTATTGTGTATTTATATGTAATTTAATAACTAATAAAAAGGTAGTGAACTCCTGAAGTTTAAACGTACGGGTGCGTGTCGCAACCGCGCACCGCGGGTCGCCGCCGCGCGCTGCACCGCGACGCGATACTCCGTACGCGTTCCATGAAGTACGCAGGAAACGTATAATGTACGCAATTTGCTTTTTTTCAATTGCACATTGCACATGGAATTATGTAATGACACTAATAGCGATATTCAGTCACTACGCCGAACTGCATTTAGCGGTAAAACAATTATTCGGTCTGTTAACTCTAAAGTAGATATAAATAAGTAAAATTCTATACTAATCTTGTATAATTCAATTTTCGTGTGTCTGTAATTTTATACGACTGTAGTCATAATTAAACTTATACGTAAAAACATGCGTTTTTTATTGTCTTTTTTATTTAAAGGCTTTTTTCCTATAACGATATGTCGCCCTCATACCCTAACCTTAAATATTTATTTCACACACTAAAACAGAGAGAATCATTGATTTGTATCAATACAACAATACAGCAATTAAAGATTTTGCCATTTCGGAATGTGGATCTGCGAGTGTATTTAAAAATAATCTAATAATCTTGTCTATTTAGACTATATTTCTGTAATGTGTTGATTTAATATTAACACCATGTTGGGTTTTTTCGTAAAAATTATTCTCATATTAACAATTTTACACGATTTTATATCTATCAATACGAAGATGTTAAGAGGTTTACTTATTATTATTGCAAAGCAATATCTTCCAGACAGCTTAAAATTTACTTAACATCACCTCTGCAACTTTAATATCTACTAAATATTAAAAAATATATGGAAAAAAAGAGTCGGACAATTAGACAATTAGCTGACAAAAATATGACTCGTTTTTAAGATTCGAGGCTCTTTCTGTATAATCTAAAAAATTTACCAAAACCATCTATTATGTACATTATTTCTATTCTGTATCTATATTTATGAACATCTTCATAAATCTCTTTTCTATCAAAATGTATTTTAAAATTAAACATCGAATGTAAATCCTACTAGCTGGCCAGCTTGGCTGTAACGTATCAGATCTGAATAAAGAATGTAAATTTAAATTTGAAACGCGCTATTCGAAAAGAACGACAAATAGCTCAGTTTTCTACAAAATTTTACACAGAACACAAAAAAAATTAAAAACACGTTTTTATAAAAAATAAATATTAAAACATTTTGAATAAAAATTTTCAAGTGAATTATAATACACAGTAAAGAAAAATGGCTTGTGGTCCTTGCGGTTCTGGGTTTCCTTGCTGTGGTTCCTGTGGGCCGTGTTATGGTTCCTGCGGGCCGTGCTGTGGTCCCTACGGGCCATGCGGCGCTCCCTGTGGCTCGTGCTGTGGGCCTTGCGGTGGTCCCTGTGGGTCATGCTGTGGATCTTATGGTTCCTGTGGACCGTGTTGTGGCCCACGACCCTCCTGTGGACCATGCGGGCCATGCCCAAGCTACTTTTGCCCATCAATGTGCAAACCTGGATGCTGCAGACCTTGCCAGCCATCATGTGGCCCGACGCCGTGCTGTGGTCCCCCACGTGGTCCTTGTCCTCCATCTTGCGCTCCCTGCCCTCCTTGTGGACCTAGCCCCACATGTTGCCCTAGCTGTTGAAGACAGTCGAACTTACTTGTGATGAGTCTGGTTCATATACAGTGGAGTAACCTGAATGTAGACAGTCTATGGATAAGGCACGGTAGTCCAGGAGATACAAGATGTTTATTGTTTGTAAACGTAATGTAAGAATAAAGTCGTTCGTTGCCATTGTATTTTTCTTTAAAAATTGATTTTAAATAGTTTCACAAAGTTTAATGCTTCCACTAGCATTAAACTTTGTAGTCAAGTAAGCTTTTATCCTTCAGGTTAGTTTCATTACATAACTTTGTGCGAAACTATCGCACAACATGACAAGTTAATTCAGTTCTGAAATAGTTTCTAGAATCCAAAAGGGTTTTGAAACCTCTAGGCTTGGTTCCTATTTATAAGAGAACTGTCGGGTCGGCTCGAAATATAAACAGTACTTACTAAACAAAAATATCCTCTGACTTGACCCACAGTCGATTCGATATATAAGCAAATGTACTAAATAAGTACTAGGATAGCAGAAATTAGCAAAATAAAAAATTATACAAAATATCGTTGGTACAGAAATCCAAACATTTATGTTTAGTTCGTCACATCTACTAATTACTATATCAGTATTAAAAGACTATTTTAATGGAAAAGAACATTTATATTTATCCAAACGGCACTAGGAACACATAACTGGTAAGAACAAGAACTTCAGCTACAGGATGGTCCGCAGCAGCTACCACAGACGCCACCGATGCAGCCTCCGATGCAACCGTGGCCGCAGCTGAAGTACGAGCCGGCCACACCTCCACGTTGGCTGATGGAAACATTACACAAAGTAGTACAAAATTATATATATGTAGTACATAATATATTTTTCCTTTTAATATACATTAAAAGAAAAAAGAGTAAAGAGTATCTTCATTTTTAAGCGTATTACAAATACACATTGATCCTATATGGAATTACAGGATTTTTTTAATTACAGTTATATTCCTCGTTGGTTCTGTGCACATCAAATCAAAAACTTATTGTAAAGTGTATGTTTGTTTGCTTGTAGAAAACGTCGTAAATTTTTGTCTACATACCAATCTATGATAACAACGAGGCAAACAGTGAATAAAAATAACAGTTTTGTAGAATAGGATCTTAAAATCATATTAATTTTATATCTAATTAGTCAAAATAAAGTAAAAGAAAAAAATTCTCCATCTGGATAACGAATGTAAAATTCCCAATTGCACATTTCGTAATCTAAAATTAAGACCTGTATACTGACCCATGTAAAAATCCGTATTCCCCACAAGCCGGAGAACACCTGACACCGGCGGCGTGTCCGCAGCAGGGCCCTACGCAATTTCCACAAGACTCGAGACGATGGGCGATGGGACCGCACGGCCCACACATCCGGCCCTGGCAACCAAGACAACAGTTACGAACTGGCATTTTGTTAAATCAATTTATCTCGTATTTAGAATATTTATAAATAAATTCATTTATATTTTTAAACTATCAATATTTTGTCTTATTTCTAATAAGTAATTAAATAATCCAATTGTATTTTTATAATAATAGGAACTTGATAATTTTACTAATAATTTAATTGATTTTCTCTACTACAAATTTTCTGTCAGAAATTTACAGTTAGATTTATTCTTTTTTTAAAATCACGAAGTTGCCTACACTACCTAAACAAGCATAGAGTTTACACTACGCAATTAAAACTATAGGCTCACACATCTAAAAAAAAAAAGAAATATAATTATGTCATGTCAAATCTAAATTCATTCAAACACGCATCAGACTAAAAGTATCTGCAAAAAAATAATTGTCTAATATACATCGACCGTTACATTCGATAAATTAATAAGTGATAACCTTAAGAATTGATTAACCAAGATGCCTTGTCCGTGTTCCAGTTGTGGGGTCCCATGCTGCGGTCAAGTAGCTGGCTTGTCATACCCGGCGCCTTTCTGCGGGCCCTGCGGTGGTGTGTGTACAGGTCCCTGTGGCCGCCCCTTTGGCACCTACAGTTGGCGTTACGGCCCTGGATGTTGCCCTTGAAATGTTGCCATTACTAAATAAAAAAATGTTAGTATAATTTTATTTTTATTTATAATTAAGTAACTACCTCGCAGATTTCCAGTATATACCAGACTTTGTACAAAAGTCGTCTGCTTGGGTACCTCTGTCCCATTCATGTTTCTGCCATAAAGCAGCTGCGTTTGCGCGGCTGTGTTTTAGTTTAAAAAGGATATGGCAATGAAGTTACTAGGTGCTTCTGCATAGACATAACACCGTAGTTTTCAAGAATGGCAACACATAACGGGTATCATGGGTGACACAGTATGCTCTGTTATGTCTATGGTACTGCTCACGTCTATAGGCGATGGTTATAACTTTTCATCAAGTAGACCATCAGCTTATTTACCATTTGCTATCATACCCTAGATCCATCTAGACTTCAAAATATTTCCTCTGTTATACTAACAAACAGACAAATTCACTATATTGTGTGATAGTACACATCCGATTTAGTTTTGTAAACAGAATAAATATTGAACAAGTGATATTCACTTAAAATATTTTCACGATATATCGTAAAAAGCATATCGCAAAAATAAATTTCACATGAAAGCAAGGTGTGCGAACCGGAAGTGCGCTCATTTTGTGAAGCGTCGCCATCAGATAACATGGCGGCCGGAAGTGCCGAGCGATGTACCCACGATACTAGGCATTGTCTCTTTCATCTATTTGTGACTGATACGTAATGTATTTTGCATGTTCCACATGATTTTATAGACGACAATTAAAACTGAAATATTTCCACGAGTTTATAAGTTCTTGTTATTCAGAATAACACATTAAACAGGTGGATGGTAAATCGAAAATCAGGAAGGGGTTTTCCTGTTAACATGTTTTCAAGCTAAAATCATTACTGGATATATACAGAAAAAGGATATTGAGTTCTAGTGAATTTTGTTTTTTTTTTCTATAAAAAAAATAAACTAAATTTTTTTTTTATTTTTTGTTAGTATTGAATAAACTCAGTGATATAAAAAAAAATCAATAATTACTTAACTGATTTTGAAAACTCTTTCTCCTATAGAAAGCTCACATTTTTATGTAGTAAATGGGCCGTATTTTATTTCAAATAAAAAACTTAGTTAATCGCAGCGAATCAGTGCTTCTTATTAATATTATAAATTTGAAAGTGTATTTGTTACTTCATGGCGCATCAATGACTTAATAAATCGTTATGAAATAAAATATTATACATGTATTATCTCGGATGCAAAAAGAGATCGACTGCTTTTTTACCCAGTCAGTAAACATATCCCAATCACGCGAACAATGTCTGTGATAAAAGCAAGTTTTTCATAATTCACCCACAAAGTTTCGTCTGGAAAAATACCGAACCGTTTTTCAGGTTTACTGTGTAGTCCCGGCATAGAATGGGCCACCCCTTTCTTTCCCGTGTCTGTTGTAAGAGCGACTAAGGGAACTTAATGGCCGAGAGATGGACAGTAGCGTTCCTCTTAAAACATCATCAAAGCCTAACTACGGTTGCCAACATTCCTACAACGTAGCAACTACTGGCAACATCCCCCCCCCCCCCCTTATGAGGTAAGCCTATGTTCAACAATGTACAGTTAACGGCTGATAAATAGTTTTCCCAGTAGAACACTCTTTAAAAAATATGGTATGCAAATATTTTTGATTTCACCCTACGATAGAAAAGCATCTGCAGAATTCCTATTACTTCCCACTAGACAATCATTTATTCCTATTTCTGTTTGTCAAGTACCTACCAATTATAGACCAGACAAAATTCAAGGAACCAATAGACACGATTAGTTCTATTAAAGGCCTATAACTATAAAAATATACAACTAAATTTAACCCCAATTCGTTACTAGAATTCCACGTAAAATATTTTAATTGTGATGGTTAACATATTCATAGAACCGTATTGGAAGAGGGGTGAGGCGTGCCTTCTGTGAAACGAACCCTATAGAAAATGGTTGTTTATTTTTGGCCGAATCCATTTTCAATTTAGCGTGACAGTAATTTTCCCCTCCATTCAATGGTCACGCACGTCAATACGAAATTATTTCTAGGAAAGTAGAACATTATTTTTAGGCCTATCTAGAATTCTTCGCAAGGTGCGTTCACGAGCCCTGAATATTTTTTATGACGATTTATCATGAAATAATAAACACACTGTTTTCAATGTGTGTTATAATTCTATATTCATTTTTTTATAATGACATTTAGAACGGCAAACACGCTGACGGTCTACTTAATGGAGAGTGGTAGCCATCGCTTATAAACAAACAGCACCATGGAATACACTGTGATGCTCACGGTAGTTACCCTTCCTGCATTGCCATTCCTAGGAATCAATTTTATGTTATTCTGTAATATACGTCATATTATATATAATATCAATTGATTTTTATATGATTAAAATGATATTTTTAATTATTGTTTATTTATTCAATATAAATCAAAATAATCATGACAAATCTATTTAAAAACAATATAATATAGAGCAAATATTTATATAAGTAACTAAATATAACCTAACATCTAAATTGTCATTAATGCTTGTATATTAGCTACCTATTTATTAAATTTTGCTACACCCAAACAGGGTTCATGTACTTATTCTTCATAAGAACATTGCAACAACTCTATATTATGTACATAAATGCATTTTATTATAGGTGATAATGAAATAGTGACCCCACCCGCGCTATCAGTATACACAAGCGGGGCACCAGTGAAGGATGACAGGTGAGGATGAAACAGGTCAGTTAGCCCATCGTGACGAATTCAACGAGAATTGTTCACGATGGTTTCCAGGGGGAACCACGCGGAGGTAGACCTGATACCATTGCTAGCAATATGGGCATATTGCTAGCAATGGGGCTGTTAAACTCCATTGCTAACGATCCCTTCCCCCCTACATAAATGCATTATAATAAATAAATTAATAATTCATTTCTATATCCAATCATTTAAACCGAAATAGACGTGAAAGCACGGCTGTTTCACGGGCCAAGACAGACAGAGGTAATCAAACAGACGACTTTTGTAAAATGTTTTCTTCTGGTAAAATTTCAGTTTTAAAGGTAAAAAATTAATGAAGAGATCTCTTTTAGAGATAAGCTCACTCCTGCGATATTTATAACTGCGTTATCTTTGTAATTTACAAGTATAATAAAGAATATATAGTTCCAATTAGTCTCGTGACGACTAGAGCTGCACAAAAAATAGCTTATTAGTCCGTAGCCATGTTTCTTTTATTATATGATTGGTCCATAGTGCGTATGTAATAAAGGGTGCCAATTGCCATAACTTTACTTATTACTATGAATGATAATATTTGCCGCATAATCACATGGCCCTTAGACAAATGGCAAACGACTCTATCAAAACGCATCGCTGCTGCAAAACAGGTGCCCGAGCGACAGGTGACTGTTTACTGACCATACATACACATATATACAGACAGTAGGAACCTTTGTACAAAGTTGTCCACATAGATACAGCTATTTCACCCTTTAAACAGAAACATAGTTGTGACACGGTAGGTATATATTTATTTTTTATGACATTTAGAATGACAAACAAGCTGATAGCTCAGTTGATGGAAAATGGTACTTACCCGTTGCCTATAGACGTGAACAGCACCATGGATCTTCAAGGAAGTCTCTGCTGAATATTCTACAAGTTCTATAGTACTATTCATGTCTATAGACGACGGTTATTACTTTCCATCAGGTTACCGTTACTTTCCATCAGCTATCACAACCCAGAAAATTTGAATTTAGAAAAGTTCATTTCTTAAACTGTTCCAAAGATGAATTAAATTCGAGACACTATATTTATGTAGTGACGTGGTATTCATGTCTTCATGAGACAATTTTTTAATGGGTAACAATAAAATAACCTATATGCACTATCAGTATACGCTCTGGTAAAACACCAGTAAATAATAAATTACCAGACTTTTTATCGTACCAGACTTTTTATCGTATCAGATTTTTATTCGTATCGACAGGGAGACCTTTTATCGTGAACCAGTTGTATTTGCATGACTGTGTTTCTATTTAAAGGGTGAGATATGGCAGTGAATTTACAGGATACAGAGAAATAACACCTTACTCCTCAGGAATGTTAACACATAAAGGGTGTCATGAATGAAACAGTATACTCTACAGTATGTTATGTCCATGGTACTGTCCATGTCTATAGGCGACGGTTACCACTTTCCATCAAGCCGTCGGCTTGTTTGCCATTCTAAGTTGCTTAAAAAAATAGATGAGGATGAAAGCTCATAATTACAAATCCCATAAGAATTAATCTAGCTTCCAGTGGTAACTACATGATGTTTGATCTGGTAGGGTAAATAGGTGGGGCTGTTAGAGCCCATTATTAAATTTTCTACAGAAATATTCGTAAAGTGTCTCTATATCAAACCGCCAGACCGTGGGAAAAGGGATTGTTAAAAATGGTTTGGAATGGCCTCATTGCTAGCAATACACCCTATCAGGTCAACCTCCACGCGGTTCCTCCTGGAAACCATCGTGGTTAATTCTTCACGATGGACCGACTGATCTGCCTTCATCCTCACTAATCATCCATCACTGGTGCCCCGCCAGCGTATACCGATAGCGCAGGTGGAGTAACCATTCCATTTTCATCCATTAAAAAAAACGGGTGAGCAGCATGGAATTAATTGAGTTAACTAATGTTTTCCTTTATAGAAAGAAATCGGCAATAGCACAACAGAATGCGTTAGCGGATTGATGATTATGAGGTTGTAATACTATAGTATACTATTAAAAAACATTATTACTCTCAACACAGGATTTATTACAATATCTTCAATGACAGTTATAGCAAGGTCCTATGGGGGAACAGCAGCATCCCTGCACACAGGGCGGACAGCACGAACACATGGGTCTGTTGCACCCGCGTGGGCAACGGGCGAAAGTCCCAATATTGAAGTCACGATAGCAACCATACTGATACGGCATTTCGATTGTT